GAGGCGAAGTAGTTCTCACTGCTACCTATCTCATCAATCGTCTTCCTACCCAAGTGTTGCACAAACAAACTCCCCTTCAGGTGTTCTTAGGTTCTGAGTCTGTGTTTTCCATTCCTCCTAAACCTTTGGGTGAGTTTGCTTTGTCCACATCCATTCCCCTACTCGTGGCAAGTTGGATCCTCGTTCTATTAAATGTGTCTTTCTAGGTTATTCACCTACTCAAAAGGGCTATAACTGTTATTATCCTCCGTCTCTTAAGTGGTTTGTCTCCATGGATGTCATCTTCTTTGAGTCGCAATCCTACTTCTTGTCCTCTCCGGTGTCCCAGTCTTCCCTTTAGGGGGAGTCTTGGTGTGAAGAGATTCTTGGATTTACAGTTCCTGGATCATTACCGGTGGTTGAGGATGTATAATATGAACTAGCTATCATGGGCAATACAAAATCCAATGTTCTCAAGAAAGGGAAAGTCTATGTTAGAGACAAAGACAGACAAAAAGTTACTTGGATACAAGAGATCACTTCTGATCCATCACTGCTATCTGCTTCCTTTAATGAGAGTCCAGGTAACTTTGAAGCCCTTGATATTCACGAGTATTTTGATCTTGGTATTCCTATTGCTAAACAGAAGGGTGTGAGGTCCTGTACTTAACATCTTATCTCTAACTTTGTATCCTACTCTAATTTGTCTCCTTCTTATAGAGCCTTTGTGTCAAAAATTTGTTTTGTTAGTATACCCAATCATTTTCAAGATGCTCTTGCTGCTCCGGAGTAGAAACATGCCACAATAAAAGAAATAAGAGCACTTCGTAAGAATGATACTTGGGAATTGACTGAGTTACCTAAGGGTAAATGACCTGTGGGATGTAAGTGGGTGTATATTGTGAAGCATAAAGCGGATGGTTCAATTGAGCATTACAAAGCTCGACTTGTGGCAAAGGGCTTTACCCAAACTTATGGGGTAGATTATTAAGAGACATTTGCACTAGTTGCTAAGATGAATTCAGTCAGCGTACTTCTCTCTCTTGCAGTTAATCTGGATTAGCCACTTCACCAGTTTAAGGTGAAGAATGCTTTCCTACATGGTAATCTAGAAGAAGAGGTGCATATAGACATTCCTCCTGGCTTTGAGGATCATGAGACAGAAGGTAAAGGATGCAGGCTTAGGAAGTCTTTATATGGTCTCAAACAATCTCCAAGGACTTGGTTTTAAAGATTTACTCAGGCAATGCTCAAATATGGCTTCAAACAGAGTCAGGCTGGTCACACTTTGTTTGTTAAACATTCATCTCATGGTAAGACAACGGCCTTCATTGTTTATGTGGATGATATAGTTCTTACAGGAGATGATATTGAGGAAATTTTCCGGTTGAAGCAATATTTGGCAAGCGAGTTAGAAATAAAAGACTTGGGAAATCTGAAGTATTTTTTGGGTATTGAGGTTGCCAGGTCCTAGGATGGGATTTTCATTTACCAAAGGAAATATGTTATTGATCTATTGAAAGAAACCGGAATGCTTGGGAGTAAAGCTTGGGACACACCTCTAAAGCCAAATCAAAATCTTCGTGATGATGGTGGAGGAGCTACTGTTGACTGGGGGGAGTTATCAGAGACTAGTGGGGAAGTTCATTTATTTATTCCATTCTTGTCTTCATATTGCTGTTGTGGTTAGTCAGTTTGTGTATGCTCCTTATGAGACACACTTGGTTACGGTGATGCAGATTCTTAACTACTTAAAATCTTCTCTTGAAAATGGTCTCTATTTTTCCAAACAATCATCTTCTTATGAAAGCTTATACAGATGCTAACTGGGTAGGATCAGTAACTGATAGAAGGCCCACATTTGGATATTGTACCTTTGTTAAGGGAAATTTGGTTACTTGGAGGAATAAAAAATAGAATGTAGTAACCCGGTCAAGTGCAGGGGCAAAATTTAGAGTCATGGCACAAGGTATGCGAGCTCTTGTGGATCAAGTTGCTGCTAAGTGATCTGGGCATTGGTCAGATAGACTCCATATGACTATATTGTGACAATAAGGTTGCTATTAACATAGCTCACAATCTAGTTCAGCATGACCGCACAAAACATGTTGAGATTGATCGTCACTTCATCAAGGAGAAACTTACCAATGGCACTATAAGTACTCCTTTTGTGAAGTCGCTTGAACAACTGGCAAATGTTCTCACCAAGAGAATTGGAAGCAAACCATTCCATGATGTACATGACAAGCTGAGCATGAGAGTTATCTTCGTACCAGCTTGAGGGGGAGTGTTAGAATAAAATCTTGGCTATTATGTATTGCTTATTCTATTTAGCTGTCATTAGCTGCTATTTCCTTATTATGTATTTTTCCTTAATTGTGCCTCAAGGCTTCCGTTGTAAGCTACATATTGTCAATATAAAAAGGGAATGATAGTCTCATCATTCCCTATGTTTGTTTTCTCCCAACAAACAATTCGTGTACAATGGATGACGACTGCGCGTGGAAACCGCGAATTGGCGATTTTTTGTCAAGTACGGAACAATTCGTGGACTCGGTAATCGTAATTTGCGAATTCTTTTTGAAGTCGGTGAATTCACCAATTCAAGTCACTGACACGTATTCTGGAAGTGTGTTAGATCTTGCTGAATTAAAAGTCAAGTACAAAACTGCAATGAGTGGGCCTTGAACAGACAACCTGTTAAAAGAATTTCCATTTCCAACTAGAATCACCACCATGGCATGTAATCTACTTGGCTCTTAGACCAAGCAAAATAATTATATATATTATAAATACATGGTATTATAATAGTAAAAATAAAAGTTGTTTGACTAATTTTTAATAAATACTTTTAAATTTTATTTAATAATATTAAAATAAAACAGAATTAATGGTTAATATGTAATATCACTATATATATTTTTAAAATATATAATATATATAGATGCTCTCAAGGGCTCTCTTGATCCTACTACCTTTGAAAGTTGACGATCTCATGCTCTTGCTCTCACTCTCGATCTACGAATTGGTGGCTCAGGACTAACATAGGTCTGTTTGTCTATACTGTTCGCACGGGCATGCATATGTTGTATTGCAAGTTAATTTTTGTAGGACAACTTTAGAAAACATACAATAGAGTTGCTTAGAATTGGATTTGTGGCATATTTAACATCATGAAAGATTCTAGGGCTATTTACTCACGTGGATTTCCAGAAAAGTTGCTGAGAATTTATTGGATAGTGACAAAGGGTTTTTGGTTGATATAGGGTTAATTTGGAAGGGTTTGAGGCTAAAATTGGGCTGTTCTTGAGCTGTGAATAGCCGTGAATAGTAATTAAGAAGAATTTCCCTGGCAAGGGTTAAGCAAAGTCACACAAACTTAAATTCTGTGAAGCTCAACTTTCATTCAATAGAAAGATTACACATGTTGTAAGCTACTAGGCCTCTACTTATTTTAATAGGAGTAAAGGTGTAAAGAGTGGGAAATTAAGAAATTTTGATTTACTAGAATATTCTAATTCTAATATATAATTGCAAGCAAGTCTATTGACTGGACTTCTTTACTCACAAGTCCTAAGTAAATTTTATTTTATTTTTTATGTATTTGCGCACCGTTTTGGTAATGAGAAAATTTTGAGACTTTAGATGTGTTTTGTGATTGTGGAATATGATCATTTGGAACTGGTAATGATATTGAAAAATTTATCAAAGTGATAAATGATTGGGATATTTTGACTTTTATTTGCGAGTTTGATTTATTTTTAGTTTATCTGTGTTAGTTTGCATTGAAATATGATAAGGGAAGTGTAAGTAGTTGAATTGTATTTTTTTTTAAAAATATTTTTATAGTGGTAAATTTATCACTAAAAGTTGGTGTAGGACTTTTTGATAAGTTCGTTCGGTGATGTAAGGCGTGTGCCTAGAATGTGAGTTAGTTAGTTAGTGGCATATATCTACAGTAGAGGGGATCATTTGTAACCAAGTTTGAGGAATAACATTTGAGTGATATTGAGATATTCTCTCTCTAGAACCCTTTGGGTTCCTCTCTCTCTCTCTCTCTCGTTCTTGGACCCATCATCTGGTCCACAGGACCTACTCATAACTACCCCTCTATAAAAAGATTAAAAAATGTTATCGTTGGAGAGCTTGATATACATTGTTCGGCCTCTTTCTAACGACTTAAACTTTTGGAACAATTAGTGATCGAATATGGTATGAAAGCTCAATTTAGGAGAGTTCATAGTCCATGTCTATCAGTTTGCATTTGTTTCTTTACATGTTTAGATGTTTGCATCTCTACATGCATGACGGGATTGCATGTGAGGGAGGTTATTGGACAGCTTGATATGCATTGTTGGGCCCCTTTCCTTGCAACCTAAGTTTTTGGAACAATTGGTGATCTAACAATAACATGATCCATATTATGACCCTGGACCATATTACCATCCATGACTAGCAAATCCTAAAAATAACACTTCAGTTGATAAGATTGAAAAACATAACTTGATCAATATGACCAAGGCCCATATTCCGTGACCAACAAATCCTAAGACTATCAAAATGTCTTTGGCTTCTATAACTTAATAAAGTAAAAATTGATAGTGTTGAAGCGTACTAACTTCAAATTAACATAACTTAAACCTTAAGTAGATCATGGGTCACTCATACTAAATGCGAAATTTCATATTTGCCCTTGTATTTGTGGCATGAATTTTCACCGAGACAGTGAGACTATAGTAATGACCATCCATCTCTCTTTAGTTTCCTCCGTTTGGTTAAAGGATGAGGCCCATTCATCTCACAAATCACAGCATTTGTTTCTGCTGATGTTTTTGTTTTGGTTGTTGTTTGTTTGTTCTAACAAGATCCTTTTTTTTTTTTTTTTTTTTCTTGATAAATGCTCTAACAAGATCTGTCTCACAGACCACCTATCTCTCTAATCTCCACATTACCTCTGTTTTGGGTGTTAAGAGTTTTGATCTTCAACAGTTTTTTTCCCTGTCATGTTTTTTTGGGGAAGTAGAAAATTGCGTTAAGATCTACTGAAGTGGGTAACCTTAACCGGATGTGTCTGGTAACAGGTAAGCCTGAAGGCTGTACCTGTCCCTGATGGTGGAGATTTGAACCGTCTCTCCTTTCTATGAACACTCACTCTGCTATGTGATTGTTTGAAGTGCAAGATGCTGTGCATATGATATGACACTAACACTAGAATGCTGTCATTTATGAGGAAATATTCTCCTTGCTTTTCCAAAATCTAAATGTTAAACCCAACTACTCTTCAAAATACCCTTTAAGAAGCCTTCATATCCGCTTGCGATATTCTCAAGTTTAGATATTTCTCTACTCTATCAAATGTCTTTTCTAGTTGCAAGGGAATTTTAAAAATAAGGATTGCCAAGGTACATGGATTTCTTTTTCCCTCCCCTTTTCATTTAGTAAAACCACTTAAACTTTAACATCATTGACCATTGAATTTATGATCTTTCCCTGTGAAGATGATGAAATTAGCTTTTTGACTAAGACTGCCCAAATGATTGAACCCTAATTTAGCATTGTTTGCTCTGCTTATATAATTCTTGGCCAAAAACCCAAAATTACTTAATATTTCTCAGAATTCATAAACACAGGTTTACAACTTCTTTCTACAGCTGTTTGAAATGCAGATCAAGTGCTAAGCGAAGATTCCAATACTCCAAATTACAGTTTTCTGATTTGTGTCAAATACTTTTGCAAGCTGCGTTGGCCTGAGGCCTATTTATATGTCAATCCTATGATGGTGATTTATGTTTGTTTAGGGTTTGAAATTTGAAGAAAGTAGCTTTGCAAGATTTTATATTTCTCCTATTCGTTTCTTCCCAGATCATTATGTCTCGAAGGCGGATTCCTTGCTTGGATTCATATTTAGATAAGGTATGTATCTTTTGATCTAGTTCATCATGTTATTATGTAAGCTGTTGATGATGGAGTTTCTTGTCTGTCCATCTCTCTTGCTCTTTTGCACTCTCTTTCATTGTTGTACAACTTTTGGTTTCTACATCTGGTTTTTCAGTTATTGGAATGACTTAATTGTTAAAATTAAATTAAATAAAACAAATTGTATAGTAACTTGTCAATTTAACCGGTATCTTAGATAGCCATATATTCGTATCTATGGAGGCTAGGGTATGCATATATGATCATGGAGCTATGTCCTCCTTCACAAGCTGCTTTCATTGAGGTTGTCATGAAGCATCAGTTCTGTCGCTGGATGAGATGTGAATTTAGGTCATGGTTATGTTGAATACATTAGCTATCCACAACAGCTGAAGGAGGTTTTCGGTAAGGTGGAGATTTAGACAGCCAGGCCTTTTGTGATATTAAAAAAATGGATGAGAAGGAGATGAAGGGGATGACAATGATGCTTTCCTTCTTTGAGATTGGAAAACTCAAGGAGTTTGCTTGTTTTATTGTTCTACTTTCAAAGAAAGGAAGTGTAGTTGACATTAGAGATTGCAGGCCAATTTGCTTGATCGGTAGTGTGTATGAATCATGACCAAAGATTTAGCTTTGAGGTTGAGGAAGGTGATGGGGTTGGATCATTCCGTAATCGCAGAATGCTTTTGTGGGATGGAGGTAGATTTTGGTGGCTAATGAGTGTGTGGATTCCAAACTAAAGAGTAATGTTACATGGATTTTTTGTAAGTTATTGAAAAGGCTTACAATCATCTTAAGAAGTATAGATATGGAAATGGAACATGGTTACGCTAATATGAAAATTTAATAAAAAAAACCACGACACAACATTGAAGGTGTCGAGGTGCGCCTGTCCAATGGCCCACACATTACCTCGCTTGTCACCCATGCATCAAAGGGCAAGGCAAACATGACAATGCAGGACAGCATGCCAGCTCACACCGCGTGCGCCCACCTGCCCATGCTGCGCACGCATGCCATTCTTGTCACACATATACGCTAGCCATGTCTTGTGGCAGCAGTACCTGACACTGTGCGCATGTCTGCCCCGTGCCAGTACCAGCACCAACACCCTTGCCACTTGCACACCAATTTGTATTTTTTATGTTCCCTCTAGCCATTTTAGTAATGGATTAAAACTATATTATAAGGGGTACCCAAGTGATGAACTAGACCACCTGCACTTTATTGTACCCCAAGAGTAGATGTATTATTGCATTTGTGCATTGTAATAGTCCATAAAGAAGTATGAAGTCTTTCATTTCGATGTCGCTTGTGTGCTACATATGCTTTTACCTGTTAGTGAGTCTTTGTGTTTGTCGGTTGAAACTACTCAGGCCACAGGTTGACTTCCTTGTATTTGCTTGCCCTTGCAAACACCACTTGTAGATTTGGCGGATTAGTTAGGGTGTCTAACTAGTGCCACACAACATTCAAGGTCGGCGTGTGACACAAGGACACACAAATATATAAATAAAACTTCTAATATGGATACGTGAAAATGATAACAACTTCATTTTTTTACTTTACAAAATAGTAAGAATTCGTTTGGCACATTCTATATATTGGAATTTGGAAATAAAGTGTGAACAACAAGTACTAATATTTATTTTAAAAAACTCTATTGACAAACAAATTAAAAGTTTTAAGCTTTAGAGTTCCTAAAATTAAAAATCATATTAAGAAAAAAAACCCTCAATGGGGAAGGGATTGACAATTGGTATAAATCCTCATTATTTTGATTTTTGTCTCCCAAATATATTTATTTTTTCAAACTCACTATGTGTTTTATCTTTCATGTGTGTTTAAGCTATGGACTAACGTGTCTCCTCTATGGACTAAAGTTGTCAATCCTGTACTGGACAATGTACCGTTTTTTCCATTGGTACGGTACACATTGGTATTGGTGTGTTTTCGGGTACTGCTTCTGATTTTTCTCTACAAATATTATATATGTATTAAACTACCAATAGAATTAAAAATATTGCCTACTATAAAAAATTAACTCAAACAAGGACTTCTGGTAAGTGCACCAAATGTTAGATTAAAAGAAGAAAATGATTCTCAATTTTTACTCTCTCTAGCCAACTACTCAAAATATGTAAATTATAAGTCAAAAGGCAGCCAAAAAATTAGTACCTAAACTTTCAGCAATCAGCAATACAAGCACCTAGCAGTAGTAAAAGGCAACCACTCTCAACAGTAAAAGCCAGCCATAGCCTGTGGCATGGTTCAACTTTCTTCAGTAGACACTGTTGTATGCATTCACTCACAGTTGAGAAAGAGTAAAAAGGTGAAGTAGAGCTAGGGTAATCGAGTTCTGTATTATTTGTATTTTGATGTTGGATAGAAATTAGATGAGGCAAAAAAGCTTAAAGAGAACCATTGATATCATCATAGAGAGAACCTCATCCATTCACAATTGAAATCCTTCTGATTTATGACCCATGTTAGGTAGCGAATGTGCAACTTGGTTCCTTTTCCGTTTAACATGAAGACTGCTGAAGCAATGAAGGCTTGCAAGTTCTGTATTTTTTTGCAGAAGTCTTTCACGCAAATCTGAGTACTGTTATTTTTGAACAGGTTCATCTTTGTCTACCTGGATTCGGTGTGATTTAAGTTTGCAATCGGTGTTTTCCTGTATACCTGAAACTTCTTGGAATACACCTATTCGATACAGTGTTGTGTTGGTTTTGTCCCATTTTTCTTTTAAAATGGTACGTTTCGGAGGTACTGGCTGGTACGGAACGAAATCTACAACGCTGCTATGGACTCACGCTTCTCCTCTATGGACCCATGCATCTCCTCTGTGTTTGAAGTGTGTCCAATTCTAAAATAATTTGACTCATTTGGATGTGGTTTGACATGTGTCGGATGGTGTTTGATGAATGTGTCAGTGTTTAAAACAAACACGACCAAAGATGACACCTTAGAAATGTTGTCCTTGTTAGATGATCACGTTTGTTAGGACTTCCTGATTTATTTGTTGAAAAAAAAGAGAGTTTTTGGAAAAGGTGGGGAAAGTGGGTCCTTTTTTATATTTCTGTTGTGAAATTTTCAATTAATGGGGTAGATGGTGTTTGATAACCCAACTTAGCACCTAAACCTGAATATATTAAGTGAAAATCAAGTCTGTTTGATAATCACGATTCGTTAATTTTAAGTGACTTGAAAAATAAAGGGTAAAAGTTAAGAAAATTTTAAATAGCATGATTCTTACTTAATGTTGATTGATTTTGTAACTGTTTATGCATAAGTATTAGTGTGTATCGTTATGACCTCACCACCACTGTCATCACCACTCTTACACCCCCTACTATCACCACTACCCCCACCACCACAATCCTCTACTGCCATCATTACGACACCACTCATGGCTATTGCCATTGCCACCACCACTATCATCACCTCTCCACCACAACTACTACAACCCTCCACATCCACCACCGACACTGCTACTATAGTCACAAACATCATTCCACCACCACAATCACCACTATGAATACAACACCACCAACCACCATCTTCCCTCTACCTCCAATACACCGCCCCTCCACCATCATTGGAACCATTCTCTCCACCTCCACCACCATTGCCATTAGCGCCACAGCAACCACCGCTACCATTGTTGACACCACCACCACACCACCACAATGTAAAAATTAAAAAGAAAATTTGAAAATAATATATTTCAAATTTCATGTTTTACATGTTATACAGCTTGTTTTAGTTCAATCACTTAAATTTATATCAAACAAGTTTTTAGTTTAAAAATTCAACATTTAGTGTTCAGTACTTAATTTTTAGTTTTTAGTTTTCAGTTTTATCAAATACCACCGTAGCTACATGCTTTTTTGAGTATAGGGATTTGAGGCAAAGTGACTCTCTTTGTTCTTTTATCATTGTTATGGAGGTGCTTATTGGAATGATGCGGAGGGTAGTCACTAATGGCCCTGTTTGCTACAACTAATTGAAGTTGCTTATATACATTTATTTTGTGAGGGTGTTTGGTGTAACTTCTTTTTATAGCGTATGAGACAAAAATAGCTTAAATAAATTGAAAAAGAGATCCCCCTCTTTTTCGTGTGTTGAAAGTAGAGCTAATGGAGCCTAGAAAACCAAGAATATTTAATAAAAGCCGGGTATGTAGGTCCTGTCACGATTATGTAGAAGCTAGAGGAGGAGTGCTTTTAGTATTTGCTTTTTAATTATTAGTTTTCAGCTTGAGAAAAGCTGCTCCAATGATCGATTGACTGCAATTGAATTCGGTCATAGAGGGAGCATGATGGTGTCTGTGACACTTATTATTTGTGGATGATACCATTATTTTATGTGGAGCATAAGCTAGTAGTTGAGAATTTTGAGACACGTTTTCCTTTGTTTTAAGTTGATGCCAGGTCTTCATATTAGCTTGCTAAAAGTGAGCTCATTCTTGTATGGGAGGTGGTAGATGTGGAGATTTTGGTGGCTAATCTTGGATGTGAGTAGGGTTTTTGTCTTTAACTTGTTTGGGCTACGATGGGATCATCCTCTAAAGCTAAGAAAGTTTGGAATGTGGTGGACTGATGACGTTTTACCAGATCGCTATGGTCTTGTTATGACTTTAGGGGCTTACAGTAGTGGACTGTTGGATTTTGTCCCCTGCAAGTGTGGTATGGACACTTATTTTCCGGAGACCTTTGCGGGACTGTGGGATGGAGTTGGTGGAGGTGTTTTTTTGGGATGCTACAAGAGAGCCTGGTTCAGGTAGGGTTGAAGATAATTTAGTTGGGAGAGGTTCTACGAGTGGCATGTTTTTTATGGCCTCTTTTTATTGAAACCTTGTTGGGGTTGGGGATATGCTTCTTTCCCATGGAGAGGGATTCGGAAATCAAAGGCTCACTCCAAGGTTGGCATTCTTGCATGGAATAGCTGCTCCTGAAGCTTTACTTAACGACTGACGAGGAAGAGAGGAAAAGTCATGTTGGACTGGTGTTGCTTGTGCAAGAATGATGGAGAAAGTGTCAATCATCTGCTTCTGCAGTAATCACTTGTCAGAGAGATTTGGGGTATGGTGTACTATGCTTTTGGAGTTATATGGGTGAGGCCTAGTTCAGTTGGGAACAATTTGCTTCTTGAAGTAGGGGTTATCATTGTACTGATAGGAAGGTTCAAGAGGCTTCTCCATTATATGCCTAATGTGGTGTTTGTGGAGAGAGAGAAATAGATGGTCCAATTTCAATTATAATAACTAATTTTATATGAACTCTATTTGAGAAATACTTATTTTTCATATATATAATTATAACTTAATTATTATGATATTTGAAAAAAAAAATTATTTTTATATCTATATAATAAGATAGAATGGTTTTTGAAAATATATAAAATGTATGTGAGATATAGTTCATTTGAATGGTCTAGATCAATCCTAATCAATATCTAATGGTTGAGATGAATTTTCTTCCCGCCCAAACACTCTCTCTCTCCCTCTCCCACCTACCCACGTCTCCTCCCCCATTCCCTCTATCTCTCTCTCCCTCTGTGTTATTATTCTTCTTTCCTACCCTCCCTTTTGCGCTCGCTCCCGACGCTGGCCTCGATTTTTGCCTCTCCTCCCTTCTTTCTCCGTGACTTCAAGTTGCAACCCTCCCACTCGCAAGGTAGGGTTTCCGATTGTGAATCGTGAAACTGTGCTTCGATTGGGTCACCGAAGGCTAGGGTTTCCACCACCATAGCCACCGTCATCATCATCAACTTCCTCGAATTCTACATTGACGCTACCGTCTTCTCTTTCTCTCTGCTTCGAACCCTCATTGGAGCTCTCTGGTACCTCTCTCCCTCTCTCTCTGGTACCTCTCTCTCTCAATTCAAGTGTAAGTAATTTCCTTATTGTTTCTTAGTCATTTGTTCTAATCATGTGTGATGATATGTATAGTTGCCCAACTCTAAAGGGGTCAGATTTTCTTGATTTTATGTGCCTGTTTTTGAATTTCCTAATTCGCTGTTTTTGAATTTCCAAATTCGAACCCCAATGGCTTCAAGACCCATAGTTCAAGGTATTTAAATCTGTCTCTCCCCTTCTCTCTGTGTGTCTGTTTTTGAATTTGGGTTCAAAGTATTTATATATGCCTTTTCCTTTATCTCTCTGTGTCTGTTTTTTAATTTGGCTTCAAGGTTCTGTTTTACATTGTCTCTTTATCTCTCTCCCTGTGTCTGTTTTTGAATTTGAGTTCAAGGCATTTTATTTGAATTTCATTCTCTTTGTTTACTCTCTTTGTTTGTGACCTGATGAATTTAGATTCAGTTTTGGAACTAAAATTTGACAATAGTAGATGTTGTGTGTGTGTGTGTGTCTTTGCCCAGGAATCTGTGATGTTATGTGATGCTGTGTGTGAGTTATGTGAATCTGTGATGTGTTCTCAACAATTTAATCAATCCATTGTGTTCTGTACTTTTTATGCAGCATTTACAAACACTTATTGCCTGAACTAATTAATAAAGAAACATGAGAAAAGTTAGAAGAATGTATATAATGCTCTTAGACAATTCAAAGTTTCCTTCTTAAATTAACTTCGTGAAATATCAATCATTCACTTTAACAAATGTCATAGGCTGGCTATATTTACCAAGAGATTTTGTGTTTTTCTTTTTTAATTGTAAAGATAGGTTGTTTAATCAACAGTTAGAACTCAAAAAAATTATTTTGGTTATGGCTCACACCATACACTCCATTTTATGAGTGCATTTTTTTGATCTATAGTTTTTTATTAGTGTTACATTCAGAAAAAAAGAATACTGTGAGTGGGTTCTAAGTTAGGTAAAGTTTGGAGTAGGTGAGTTGGGTATTCAAAATTTGTGAAATAAATATTCAAAATATGTGAATTTATGGCACTGATTTCTTTCTATGTGCTTTCTTGCCTTCTACATACATATGTTACTACAAATCCTACTTTCATCAGCTCATCATTTGGTTGTCATCAGCCTTTTTTTACCAAGTCACAGCTATTTTGATCTGGGTTCAACCCTTTTTTTTTCTTCCTTCTAAAGGATCATTCAACGTTGAGCAACAATTTAATCAATCCATTGTGTTATGTACTTTTTATGCAGCGTTTGCAGACACTTATTGCCTGACCGGATAATTTTTTTAATTGATTTAATTTTATTAAATCCGATAATGAACTAATTAATAAAGAAACATGAGAAAAGTTGTATATAATGCTCTTAGACATTTGAAAGTTTCCTTCTTAAATTAACTTCGTGAAACATTTCTACAAACCAAATTGATAATTCTTTTATATGAACTCATGCAAAGCATTTTTTTATAAAATATTCTAAGTTTATATACTTTTATTAAATTTTTTGTGTTAAAATTTATATAATTATATTGTAAGTTTATATCTATATAATATGGGAGAAAGGTTTTTGAAAATATGTCTAAAATGTATCAGAGATACATTTGGATGGCTCAGATGAATCCTAATAAACATCCATGGCTGAGATGATTTTCATTCCCGCCCAAACGTGCTCGCTCTCTCTCTCTCCCTCTCCCACGTCTGCCCACGCTTTCAGTACCACACACGCCTTTAACGCCCTTTCTACACCTTCTCTCTCACATTCTCATAGAAGAGACCTAAAAATGAAAATCATCATCATAATCATCATCTCCGAACTCGCCACCATCGCTTCCATCTTCGCTTCCTTCATCTACCTCTTCAGCTTCTTCACCCATGCTTCTCACAACGCTTCCTTGCTCCTCCTCTGCCTTCCCTGTTGTTGATTGCGCCGCCTCCCTTCTGCAAATCGTCAAATCAGTGGTTTCTGGTTAGATTCCTTCGTATTAGCTTGAATTAAAACTCAGCGATTGTTACCGTGCGGTGTCGATTCAACGCGAGGCGTTGCAGAGGCTCTCATGGAGGTCTCTCTGATCTCTCTAATTTCTGTTATTTGTAATTTTTATTTTTGTTCAAATTTTATGTTGTAGGTAGAACATAAAATAAGATAGAACTATTTTATCAAATCAGTTGAGTAGTGGTTTGTTGAATAATGGTTTGTTGGTGTTTGTTGCTGGAGATAGAACTGCTTTGTTGAATAGTGGTTTGTTGCTGGAGATAGAACTGTTCTGAATAGTGGTTGAATAATGGTTTTTTGGTTTTTAGTACAGATTTTTGATGGCTCAGATGAATCCTAATAAACATCCATGGCTGAGATGATTTTCATTCCCGCCCAAACGTGCTCGCTCTCTCTCTCTCTCCCTCTCCCACGTCTGCCCATGCTTTCAGTACCACACACGCCTTTAACACCCTTTCTACACCTTCTCTCTCACATTCTCATAGAAGAGACCTAAAAATGAAAATCATCATCATAATCATCATCTCTGAACTCGCCACCATCGCTTCCGTCTTCGCTTCCTTCATCTACCTCTTCAGCTTCTTCACCCATGCTTCTCACAACGCCTCATTGCTTCTCCTCTGCCTTCGCTGTTGTTGATTGCACCGCCTCCCTTCTGCAAATCATCAAATCAGTGGTTTCTGGTTAGATTCCTTCGTATTAGCTTGAATTAAAACTCAGCGATTGTTACCGTGCGGCGTCGATTCAACGCGAGGCGTTGCAGAGGCTCTCATGGAGGTCTCTCTGATCTCTCTAATTTCTGTTATTTGTAATTTTTTATTTTTGTTCAAATTTTATGTTGTATGTAGAACATAAAATAAGATAGAACTATTTTATCAAATCAGTTGAGTAGTGGTTTGTTGAATAATGGTTTGTTGGTGTTTGTTGCTGGAGATAGAACTGCTTTGCTGAATAGTGGTTTGTTGCTGGAGATAGAACTGTTCTGAATAGTGGTTGAATAATGGTTTTTTGGTTTTTAGTACAGATTTTTTTGAGATTTTAAAAATTATTTATGATGGCCTCTTATAGAGTTTCGTTTTAAAATAAAATGGATTTTATTAATCTTATTCGAAGGTATGAATTTGTTATTGATCTTAATCTTAATCTAAAAAGGAATGCATATGGACCTGGTGAGCAGTGGATTATTTATATTCCGTATGTTCTTTTCTTTTTCTTTTTCTTTTTTAAATTTTTTTATATGACATCCACATTTGCCAAATTCTGTAATATTGTTCTATTTTCCAGGGTATTCCAAAAGTTGCAATCCCCGTGAATCAGGCAACTTCTGAGAGGGCTGAAACAGGCGCAGCAGCAGCTGCACCTGTCTCTGGAGCACCTTATTCATCTCCCTTGAATTTGTTTCCTCAGGACTAACATTAGTTTAGATATTAGATAGAGAGTTTCAAGTGTATCTTTACCTTTTATATGTTTCTTATATTTTTTAAACTGAAATATCTCTAGGAAACAATTTCACATTTTGGTGTTGGTGGAGTTGGCTCCCTAGATTTCCTAAGAAACAACCAACAGGTTTGGTTCCTATTATATTATTTGCTGTCATTCCTTGCTTTAAGAAGATTATAATTATAGGAGTTTGGTCTGATCTTAAAGCTTTGCATTTGAATAACTGGATCTGCTTATAGTTAAATAGTTTTTTGCCCCAGTAAAGTTTTTAATGAGATCAGATCTTCCCAACCATCAACCATGTACTTTCTATGAGATGAAATCAAATTAGACCATCTTGATTTATACATATTTTCTATTGAAATTGAATTTATTTCTTATTCATTTTTTTTCTATATTGTTTGCTTTTCAGTTCCAAGCATTATGTTCTATGGTGCACACAAATCCACAGATTTTACAGGTTTCCTTTCTTATTCAGTTAATATGCTACACTTTTTTTATTAATCTTAATCTTATTGAGGTATCATGCCTTCAAAATCTGTCACCATTAAAGAATTTGTTACTTTCCAACATTATTCTATTAGTATAATATGCCCATTTTGCGATTGAACCCCAAACCCCGTATTACTCTCTTCATCTTCTCTCTTCCTCCCTCTCTCTCCCAATCTTCATCAACAATGACGGAGCCGTTGCCCATTTTCCTTCTTTAGGAAAGCTGTGTACTTTGTCGTTGATTTTCCATGATTGATGTGCAACTTCACAACTTGCCAAGCAGAGTTTTTATTTTTGAAGGGCATACACTCTAATCTAATTTTATAATCTCTAATCTCTAATCTTTAGTCTTTACTAAACGATTGTAACATAACAAGGCAAAACATGCCATATTGTCTTTGGGATAAACAAATTCATGCATTGATTAGGAGTTGCTGCAATCTAGAAGGAGATGGGTACACGTTGGGATCTTTGTATGGAAACTGTTTCCATGTTTTTTGTTTTTTTACTTTTGCTTTTGCAAGCAAGAAACAATTTTAGAAGAGCCATATGTACTTATTAATTGGTGTCTTTCTTGCAGGCGCCTTTGAAAGTTTGATTTGCCTAGACATGCGTTATCAAACAATATCTATTAGAAATGGGAGTAGACAAGGAAAAGGTGGAGGGATTAGTCTCTGAGATGAGCAATGGTTTAATTACGTTGAGAATGAGGAAGCCATATCGCATTCTTAGAAGGTATTCTTTAGGAAAGCTGTGTACTTTGTCGTTGATCTTCCATGATTGATGTGCAACTTCACAACTTGCCAAGCAGAGTTTTTATTTTTGAAATTTGTGAAGGGCATACATACCATGCTGTGGTAAACACACTGGACAGATACATGCATAAGAGCCTACATGAGTGAATTTTTATTTCTTGCACTATTTTTTATTTTCAATCTACCTTGCACTGGTGGATGAATGTTATGTATATGTTGTGTGTTTTTCTTACCATCAAATTGTGAGCTAGAGTTTTATGTTAGAACAATATTTTGTTTGTCTAAGTGCATATACGTACTGATTTCAAGCCCATTATAACTCTACATTGCAAAGGCCTTCGAGTACTTTTCTTTAAATAAGCTTTTTATGCATGTTTGTATGTGCGTGTCCATTGGCATGTGTTTGTTTATTAATGTGGCATAGCATTCTCTGACTCAAAGAATTGATTATAGTATAGCGTTTTGTTTGATAATTTCTTTGGATTCTGGTATTGACTTTTTGGAGTGAATTTTGCAGAAGGACTTTGATTAGCATTCATTAGGAGTTTTAGAGTAAGGTAGTAAAATCTTTCTATATCCCAGAAGTTGATTATAATACTACTTGGAACTTGAGAGCTGAGCAAAATCTCTTTTCGGTTTTTCCTTTTTTATTGGACTATGCTATTGTGTCTCGAACCTTTTATGCTTAGTTGAACCAATTTGCAAATGCATTTGATGGTCAATGAAACTTTGCTACAAAATCGCTTCATAGTGATTTGGTGGTCGCTGTGTTTAAGAAGCCGAAGAATAATAGAACATGCTTGAAAGAACAAAATTCAGAAAATGGGAGAAAATGTATGGTGTGCTTTATTTCTTTCTAAACATTTTTTTTTTTGGTTTTTAAATATGTTTTAGTTTTAGATTGTATAGAGTGACTTAAATTTGATAATATTTATATTGTTTGAAGATCACTTCCCATTTTATTGGTTAATACTTAATAGTTATGTTCGAGTTTATATTTCTAATCCTGTGTAGATGGTCAAATAATTTGTTTCCCAATATAGTACCAAAGTTTTTGCACTATAAGCCTGCTGCATTGGGAGTTATGTGTTTGTGTCTTTCTTTGTTCTGTTTGTTCCTCAAATCCTTTCTGCATAATCAGTTTGAAATCATTTTAATTCTAATTTCGCATTCCATGATTAGACCATTCAATCCAATGTTCTTTAAGTACTGGACTCAATATTTTTGCTACATTTTTATCTCACAATTGTATGTAACTTTTGCCATTATATATTCAATGAGTTGGAATTATTTTTATTATTATTTTTTTTTTTGTATTGTGCTTGTAATTTGTTTGTGGGAAAGAGCAAGGGTGGGTTTTCAATACACGTTCTTGTGGTTATTACAAGCTGTGTGTTGGCTATGAAATAAAATTTATATATATATATATATATTGAGTGTGACTGTGTGTGTGAGTGGTTGTTTGTGTTTGTGTCAGAGTCAAAGTGAGAGAGTGAGAGTGTTTGTGTGAGTGCATGTGTTTGGCCAAAAAGCGTGGTTAGGAACCACGATTTCAGCAGAAACAAATTTTGGTCAAAAACGTGGTTCAGAACAACGAGTTTAGAAGAAATTTTTTTTGGGATAAAAGCGTGATTCAGAACAGCGATTTCAGAAGAAAAAAAATTTAATTAAAAGTGCCTTTTGTAACCGCGATTTCTTAATTAAAATCGCGTTTTGTAACCACGCTTTTAAGTCTTCCCAGATTTCACGCGAGACAGACGCATATATGTTGAAATCGTGGTTGTGAACCACGATTTAGCTTATTTTGGGAATTCTTTCAAAATTAGGCTTAGTTTGGGAATTGAATTGTAAATTTGGCTTATTTTGGGAAATGGCCCCATTTGTGTTGATCAACACTACAAATATTATAACTTGCATATGGTACACACTTTTTTGAGGGTATGTATCATATACAACAACACATATGGTTGGTAAGATTAACTTTTTATGCCTGGACGAATCATACTCAGTGTCATCAGTATGGGTTTGAATTCCCACGTGTGTGAGAGTTTGTGACTTACCATTATATGGTTGAGTGTCTCTATTACGTAGCAACCACCTAAGGGTGTGTTATAGCATGACCCTAAAATCTAACCATAACATCAGACGCTTTGGATTGCGGTGGTTGTGGATTGACGGGTCTTATCACTAGTCTTGTTTTGATAATTCAAACTGTTTATTTTATAAATCTCTCGATGTATATTATTCATAGAAAAATTAGGCCAATTTAATAATTATAATTTTTTCATTTTATTGCATGTCTTCAAAAAATGGATGATAAATATTTTTTGAAAATAAACCATTTAATTTTGTTAGAGACAAATAATCTAAAATGAAAAGACTATAGTTATTTGATCAATCTAATTTTTTTTCATAGATGACATACATAGCTGGTCCTACAAAATGAAAGATTCATATTATCAAAACGGGACTGATGATAAGCCTTTTGAACCATTCAAATTTTCTCAAATTTAAATCTAAATTTTAAAGAAACCGAATCTTAAATAAAACATATCAATTAAGGGGTTTTTTGGGATGTCTTAAATAAGTGCACTTTTTGACTTTTTGGACTAGAAAGTTGAGAAAAAAAAGATAATTTTTTGGGATAATTTTGTCTTTTTACGAAAAATGTATATTAAAATATTGTATAAAATGACAAAATTATGTTTTTACCCCTACATGGTAGACTCATCAGTGACAGGCGGCAGAGCATGGTACGGCTTGGTTGAAATGGTGCATGAGGCTTCACGGGTACTGTTGGGCCTTGGGGGCTCACCACGGGTCCCATTTTGATAATCTGAACCATTAAATGTATAGAACTCGTTGAGTATTATATGACTATGAAATATCACTTTAATCAAATATCGATAATTATGTGATCAAAATAGTTTTGTATAAAATTAATGGACGGTGAAAAATAAACAGCTGAAAAAAAATCTGATTTGATCACATAGCTATCCCTATCCAATCAATGTGATTTTTTACAAGCATATAGTACTCGACAGGTACTGTTGGGCCTTGGGGGCTCACCACGGGTCCCGTTTCGATAATCTGAACCATTAAATGTATAGAATTCGTTGAGTATTATATGACTATAAAATATCACTTTAATCAAATATCGATAATTATGTGATCAAAATAGTTTTGTATAAAATTAATGGACGGTGAAAAATAAACAGCTGAAAAAAAATCTGATTTGATCACATAGCTATCCCTATCCAATCAATGTGATTTTTTACAAACATATAGTACTCGACAAGTTCTACAAATTGAACGGTTCGGATTATTAAAACGGAACCCGTGGTGGGCCCCCACAGGCCCAACATTACCCTCAAACTCAATGAATATATACATCTAATTTTTATTTTTTATTTTTTTTCATTTGAAAGACCAATACGTACTGAATCATCAATTCAATACCAGCGTTGTCCAATCGTTGGTTTGTATTAAAATAGTGTAAATTAATTTTTTTATATTTTTAATTTGTGAATAGTGATAACTTTTTAACTTTTTAAATAACTTTTTGACTTTTTAGATTTTTCCTAGTATGCCAAACCAGGCACATCAATCAAGTGGTAGAAATTACATGAAAATTTTATGTATTTGTTAGTATTCTTGGAATTATTTATTTGAGACCTAATAAGTAAACACAATTTCTTTTAGACTTAGAAGAGTTATTTATTTATTTATTTTGAGACCTTAAATTTTAACAAAAAAGTTTGAGGGCGGGCTTGGTAACTTTCTTACCTATAAGGAAAGGAAAATGTTATATATAATTTTATTTCTTACATTCTTTTCTTATTTTAAGACATAAGTTAGTGAATCTTATGTACATTTATGAATGTAACAACAATGTTTTGTGTATAGGAGGAAGAAAAGGAGGAATTTTTTTTTTTTTTGATTCCTAGGAAGATGTTAAAACAAAAAAACAAAAAAAAATGAGACAAAAGGGGCTTCCTTTACCAAATTTAAGGGTTTGGGTTAGAATTTGCCTTTTTATTTATTTATTTATTTTATTTTTATTTTTTAAGAAAAAAGTTGTATTACAAATCATTTAGGGATGTAATTACCATCCCAAAATAATCAGTAATACTGTGAAGTAAATACTCATTATTATTTATGTATCAATAAGAATTCTCTTGATATTTTTTTTTTCTTAATTAATGAAGAAATTATTGTTAATAAATTTGACATATTGAAAATTCTTCAATTAATAAAATAATGTTGGTATAGGGCGTCATCATTTATAAGAAATAAAAGTAAAACTTAATTTGTCTAGGTAGGTAGGTGCAAAGGACACTTAAAATTAAGAGATAGATGTATCCTCATACTTGTATGCTACATTTCATCAATAAAATTTTCTTAGCTTATCAAAAAAAAATAAAAAATAAAAAATTAAGAGATAGATGCACAAAGTATGAGAAAGAAATATAAGCAAAGCAGTCTCTAGGGAGTTACTTAAGCAAAATAGGAACAACAAATATCCATTCTCAATCGACCTGGATGGAGAATGAATCTTCTTCTAAGCAGCATTCTTAGTTACAATCCATACCATATATAGGCTTATACATAATAGTAAAGAGTATGAAGTTCCATCTCCAAGTAAAAGTTTGAGAGAGAGAGAGAAAGAGAGAGAGATGAGGATGAGGATGATGATCACCTGAGTCCTAACCATGGTTGATGAAGAGTTAAGAGGAGATGAAACCAAGAGTGTCCCAAAATATCTCCCTTGGGTTACAACTCCTTATATGCATTGGAGCTCTATAGCCATTAATAGAGCTCTTTAAAAAAAAAGGTTGGTAAAAAGCTAAATGCAAGAAACTAAGACTACCCTCCTCCTATTTAAACTTAGTGAAGTAGCAGCTAGGGCTATAACTTCCCAAAGTTTAGCCACAATGAATTTACAAACAAAAATACACCTACACTACTGTCAGTAAGATTACCTCCCCTTACCCCAAGGAAAGATGGTTTGATTGGTTTGTTGGTTGGTTGGTTAGTTAGACACATATTATGTGAGAGAGAGAGAGAGTTGAAAAAGTGAAGTTGGTAAAGCTTTTAAAATAGACATGACCAGTCACAATTTCAAAAATCCTAAGACTAGGGTTGAACTTGATGTAAAAAGAGAAAAAAAGAAAAGAAAAAAGAGTTTGGGCATCCCCATGCCCATGATATATATACTACATCTAAAGTTGGAGGGATAAGCCATTTCAAGATCAACATTTTGTGAAGTTTAAAGACTTGATTGCCATTTGTATTCTTGAATTTACTTACATTTTTTTTTTCTTTCCAGTGAGCCATTTAAGTGCTTACTTAGCCTTTCCAGGGCTAGCCTTTTGAACTGTGTGTTTGCTTGGCCTTTCCAAGGCCAAAGTTAGAGAGAAGTATGTGACCAACTTAGCTCTTGAAGTTGGTAACAACAACATGCACATGCACTTGCTTAATTTGGTTCTCTTGTTGGAACCTTTCCTTCCAAGAGAAGCAAAAGCAATAGGGAAGATATAAAAAAGCATTGTTTCCAAACATTTAGCCCCTATGGGGAGCTTTTATGTGTGGTAATAATGCATGCCCAAATGTGAAGCATGGACCTCCAGCTCCATGAGAGAGAGAGAGAAAGAAAGAGAGATGAAAAAAGAGAACCATGGTTAGGCCAAAGGTTTTTCAGATCCTTCTGATGATCAAGGAGTACTCAGACTGGAGTAGGTGAGTTCAAAATCCAATTAATCTCTCAACGATGAGGCATTGGTGCATGGAGAGCCATCGTCACGCCTGTGGCACAGCAAAACAAACTGTCAAAGATATTAGTACCTCTTTCCCAGCAGCCACTAATATATATTTGTGTGTGTGTTCAAAACAAAATAAGATAAAATGATACACAAAAGCATCATCTAATACTTTTTTATTTTTTTATCAGCAAAAAACAAAACTTTATTATTGATGTAGGTAAAATGTACAACAAAATACACAAAACAAAGCGAACACCAATAAAAAGAAACAAAAAGGAAGAGTGTGTAGAGAGTATCAAAACAAGACCAACCCATCCCAACTAGGTTGTCACAAAACAGACTACCACATCAAAAACAAAGGCTGATAAGGTGCACCAAGCAGCACCCAAAGAATCATCTAATACTTTTTATGACAAATAATATAATTAATAGAATCATCATCATCATCATCATGCAATTACCACAATCTTATCTTCCAAAGGAAATTTTATTAACTAAAATATATATACACACAATAGAACACGATAAACAGGTATAAGATAATGTGGTTGTAATGCAACTTTGTCACTTTAAAAAGATTTTGCTAACAAGTAACAAGTATCCCTAAGCACAGAAAAAAGAGAGAAAAAAAAAGTGTTTTATGTAATAATGCTCCAGAAACAGTAATAACACGGCTATATCAATGTGGGTGGAAAATTTTGTAGGAATTTTTGTAAGAATATTTGTAAATAAAAAAAATGAAGAAGCAAAGGAGGAAAGAAAATCATAATATGACCCATAATTGAATAACTAAAATAAAGGGTGTGGGTGGGTATGAAGAGTAGTATGTGAATAAGAATACAAACCTGATTGCAAAGGAGGAGTGGGTGCAAGAGAAACAGGAGCAGCATAGTGATGTGGACCGTAGGCGCCACCAGTTGAGTTCATGGCTGCTGCTGCTGCTGAGTACTGAAAGAGGTGGTGTGGGTACTGCACACCATACCCTTGCCCAGCTGCCGCTGTCGTGTAGTTGGTGGCAGCTCCTCCTCCTCCTCCACCTGTTCCATTAGTCCCTTCTCCGAAATTCAGATATGGGTAGAAGGCAGCTGCCGCCGCTGCAGCTGCTGCCGCTGCACCTGTCATCATCCCACCAGCACCAGCGCCGTAAATGGGATACTGAGAGGCAGCCCCTCCATACACCCCGTAGTAACTCTGAACAACAAAAACCCACAATATATATACACTTCGTTATTACATTGCATTTCATTGATATTGAATTCCCAAGTGGAAAGGGTTACAAGTTTCCTATCCAAAAGGTAAATTTCTTGTAATTGATAAAACTTTTTGTATTGCGTTAAATCAATCAATTGTATGATATTTTGTAGAAAAAAATCACAAACTAAATATAGAAATGAGCACAAAACAATGTGTAACCTAAATTTATTTTAGGTGTGATACTCATTACACTTGAAGTGAAATTGAACCTGAAAAATAACTATTTTTGTATTTGTTTTTTAAGAATCTATTGAAGTAAAAAAGAATAATTAAAATTTTCAAAATCTCAGATCCATGATTTTATTTTTATTTTTGTAAGGCAAGCCAAAGGCAAGGTAGTGTAGAGAAGCAACCATACATAGAAGTCCAAAATTTTAATTGGAAACCGTGTCAGGATAAAGACAAAGCGAAGACAAGACAACCACAACTGTAATTTTTACTTTTTGGTCTTCTGGGTCGTCATTCATTCATTCATTCCCTGTAATCAATCCATTGGTAGTTCTGTGATGACGATGATGCCCAGTTTACAAGATTTGAAAAATCCAAAAATACCGTTGGAAGAAATTCCCATTGTCCAAGAAATTTATTAACTAGTATAGGTACAAGCATAACTTACTTGACTACAGCTCATGAAAAGTTCATTTAAAAAAATAAAAAAAATCACGTAAGTCCAAATCATGTACTAACTCCTAGATGAACCTGGTTTGACTGAAAAGGTTATATGCTACTACTTTAGACCTTGTTGTGTTGTACCCACTAGCCACTGTAAAACGAACCTTGACTTGAATGGCAGGTTTATGTATTCAGAGAAAAAAAAAAAAAAAAAAAGTTAAAATTTTAAATTTAAAATCAAATATATACGCATTTCATTTGATAAACTTCTCTTAACTTGAATATTGGGATCCAAAACCGCAAATAGTCATCTAAGCAATTCCAATAGCTTTCCTAAATTTGTTTGTTTGTTTTTTTCTTTTTTATAATAGTTATCTTAGTGATTTGACACAATATTCACTCATTTCACTAAGAGAAAAACTATGGATCATAAAAAAACTTTCATGAAAATGATCATGAAAGGTTTATGACTCTTGGATTACCTTGTTTAGTGTGTAGTGCTTTATTTCAAGTGTAATTCAAAAGTCATAAATCTTTCATGATACCTAGCATTGCTCTTTCACCAATGACAACACTTCTAACACTCTTAAGACCGCACTTAACCATTCCCTAGAACCATTGAATAACTTCTCTTATCTTTAAATGCATTATAAAAAAGAAAACGTCTCTCAACAAAAAAATGCTCCCTCAAAGAATTTCTTTATTGAAAATCGAGCTCTCAGATTGTTGGGTGCATTTTTAGAAGAAAATAAAATAAAATAATTAGTAGTGCTAAGTATATATTTTTGTGGGGAACTACAAATTATATTATTCAGTGAACCATTTTGGTGTTATACATTTTCAATTCATATTATTGAATGAATTTTGGACAAAAAAATTAAAAGTTTTTTTTTTTTTTTGTTAGTGGATATTTTGAAGAAAATTAGTATTTAGTAGTTAGTTAATATGTTTTAAAACAAATGAAGCATATATGCATATACAATATCAAAATGGAAAATGTTATATCTAATATGGTTTCTTATTTTTTTTAAACTTTTTTTCTTCCACTTTCGGACATAAGTAAATAGATTTTATGTAAATTTATCAATGCGAGTCTCATTACTTTGTGGGTAAGAGTGAGAAAATAAAGTAAAACAGCAAGATTATATATTAGAAAGTCTATCTAACTAAAAAAGGTTCCCACATAATTGTCCAGAATTTCGCATATAAGGTGGAAATTTGATATATTTGTTGGGAGCTACCCTTGAATAAATATTGGCCTTAGATTTCAAAATGTGGATAATTTTTTGAATTTTTTGAAATTTTTTTTTAGCATTGCTATATGAAAATAGGAAAAGGAAAACAACAGAGTTTTGTACAAACCGTAGGATAGGTGTAATCCGGTGAGTATGGAGAGTACCTGAAATTTGTGTACAGAAAATATAGTATTAGAACCCAATTAAGTAAGTTTGTTGCATATAAATTCAATTATTATGAAATAAAAGAGAAAGCAAGAGAATGCAAGAACGAAAAAAAAAAATTATAAATCGTATGATTGAATTCAAAATTTGAAATAAAAAATTGTGATATTTGAGGGGAGAAAAAAAAAAAACTGAATTTAAGGCATAATTATCACTAGGGGTGTGTGCGGTGCGGTTCGGGCGGTGTGAGAGTAAATTTACAAACCGAATAGCGGGTTAGTGGATTAGTGGATTGACAAATTGCCGGTTAGGCAGTTTTTGACGGATTGGCGGATTGAAGAATATTCTAACTAATTATCATACATTTGCATAATATATAATACTAATTTGTATAATATTTTTAGATACATAACACAAAGTAATTTTACATAATATATTTCACATATATAACCACTAATTTGTAATAAATTTCATATCTTAAATCTATATCACACTCATTTTTACATTGACATTTCATTAGAGGTTAAAAAATATATATGTATTAATTATAACGGAGCGGAGCGGTTCGGTTGGCGGATTATAAATTTGAATGTTTAAACCGCGGTTAGCGGTTAGAACGGTGCAGATAAATACGAATCAATACGGTTTTAGCGGATTGGGCGGTATTTTGCACCGTCCTAATTATCACATCTAATTGCTATAGGGGTAGTTCGGAAAACCAAAAAAATGAAACATAAACATCAAGTTAAACATTTTCTTTATAATAGTATTAGTGGGTGTGTACTTTTCGGATAGATATGTGTGGTTAAATCTATAAAATATAAATTTTAATTTTAATTTTTAAAATTATATGTTGTGTATTTCGAAACCAAAGATATGTATAAAGTAGTATAGATATCGATATAGATATCGGTATAGATATACATGACAGTGACATTTACAGTTTGCATGCATGTAGTGGTAGACAGTAGTATATATGCCTGATTCATGATTGTGTACGGTATGTGTGTGTCTGCATATGGAGGCATACACCAACCCCACCAACTTTGGTTTCGTTTGAAAGTTGGATTAACTTTTTAACTTTTTAATTTTTTATTTATTTATTTTAATTTAGGGTTAAAAAGTTTGATTTAAGAACGATTTTTGACTTTTTTTATAAGAGAAAGAATGTAATGATTATGAGGTGGATGTGATATTTTATCTTATTAGACTAAAAAGACTATTTTATTTTTTGTGACTATTTTAACCAAAAAAAATCCTCAAACCCAACTTCCCAAACATAGGCTTAGCATTCAACGCTGGCATAACATATACTATAATAAGTAATAAAAGTAGAGGAAATAAGTTGAAATTATTAAGTGGGTAACGTTTATGTGTTCACTGTTCATGATCATGTAAATTGGTAGGTATTAGCGATCTGAATAACCATTGTTACTTTATATAGATAAGAGAGAGAATAGAGAGATGGAGCAAAATAATGCAAAGAAATAAATACGTTTGGTTTGTTGGTTGTGATTTTTTTTAATTATTATTTATTTTTTAATGTAGAACTTTAGGAGAGAGGTTATGATGATGATGAAGAATGAAGAATGAAGAATGATGAATGGTGGAAGAGCATGCGTGAGAGAGGACAAGTTTAATTTGCTAGGCTGTGCATGAGTTGGCAATGCACGTGATGGAGAGCAACTCCCAAAAGCACAACCCCACACACATACATTGCATACATATAAATATATATATATATATAGTTTAATTAATTAATTAAATTAAAAGCAGATTAATTAGGTTAGGTTACCAACCCATAAACATTATAAGAAGGTATCCCTTGTTGAATGGCATAATGAGGGAAGGTTGCTGCAGTTGCTGCTGCTGCTGAAGGAAAAGCTGTTCCCACTCCATTTCCATATCCTCCTGTCTGAAAAGAGCTCATTACCCTAAAGTTCCTCCCTCCTCCTCCACCTCCTCCTCCTGCATTATTATTATTATTCATTCCCATTTTATTAATACATTTTACATCCATATATACTCTCTCTCTCTCTCTCTCTCTAGCAATGCTAGGTATCATAAAAAAACATTTCATGAAAATAATCATGAAAGCTTTATAATTCTTGGATTATACTTAGAATAAAGCACTACATACTATTCAAGGTAATTCAAGAATCATAAATCTTCCATGATCATTTTCATAAATTTTTTTTCATAATCCCTAACTTTTCTTATATACATATATATATATATATATATATATATATTGTAAAAGCAACACTCCAATAAAGAGTGAACTCAAAGATAAAGTTATGGTACACCTTTTGTTATTCTAAAATTTTCTCTTAATATAGATATATATATTTAACAATTTAACTGAGATCTTTCATATTTTTTTGAAAAAGGATATAAAATTGTAAACTTGAGAAGTAGTTTCTAAAACTTCCACATTGACAGTTATTTGCAGGCATGATTACTTGCAACCATACCACGCGTGCCAAGAGACTACTATATATATATATATATATATTCTGGTTTGGACGGTGTGCTATGAAAATCAACAATTTAGATGGAGGAAAAAACTATCAAAATTTGAAGTTATGTATAGGTAGTTGCATAAAAAAAAAAGTGTGACAATCCATATTATCTGTAGTAAATTGGGATTGTAGTGAAAAGCATGCCTCAAAATTGCTTTTTGATTATATGTTGACAAGTAAAGTGCTCAAAGAGAAGTTTTTCCTTTGTTACTTTATGAAAAATAAGTTTGGAAAAGCAAATCATTTCGAGGAATTACAAATTAAACAAAAGTAAAAGCATTTTGTTACACAGTGGAATGAGCTGTCTTGCTTTTGGAAAACAGTTTCTTGTATCCATTTTGTGGATGTAAAAAAAGCAACTCTTGAGTGGGCTCACTTGAGACCAAACCAGCAAGAATACAACTCTTATATATTGGAGGAATATTCATCTTGCATGAAATTGTGAATGTGTTTTTCTAAAAAATGTTTCAAAAATTGTTAAATAGAAGATTGCATAAATTTGGACAGTTAGTCATGAGGAACATCCAAAACTTTTAACTTTGCATCTAAGCATTGTAACATACAAGTCACAGTAAAAAGAAAAAATCAAAGATTCATATGTAACTTTGCGAGATCTCATAACAGTTCTTGGTTGAGTAACCTTATAACAAAGACAGAGACAAACCCACATGATATAACATGAATTAATTAGATATATAAAAGGAAAAAAAAGAAAAGATAAAAAAGAAGTATACCATTACCATGTTTTGGGGTAGATGGTTTAGATCTTTGAACACCCAAAGAAGCAAGATTACAATTGGCCCTCCTCCCATCAATCACGGGAGCAGCATCAACACAAGCTCTCATTGCTGCTTCAGGTTCGCGAAAAGTTACCTAATTTGGAAAAAAAGAAAAAGAAAAAAGAGAGAGAAGAAAACTTAACCTCTCATAATTTTCATATACATGAACAAAACAATAAGTACAAAACAATGAAATAATAGAATTTTATTATGCTAACTAAAATTTCTCAACTAATATTTTTTTTCGATCGGTGAAAGTTTTGTTAGATTAACACCTACAGAAGTGGAACTCACACCTCTCTTTACAAGCACATAAGTCTTGCCTCTGATGGGGTGGAATGAGAGGCAAGACTTATGCACTGGGTCCATCCCCTTGGTTTTCTCAGCTAATCTGACGGACCCATCACGAGATCTTTCATTTTTCATCAAGATCTAGTGAAAACAGGCATGATGATAATTGACATGGAATAATAGAATCAAAGACCAAGATATCAAGAAAAAGAAGAGAAAAGAAATGAAGAAAGGCATGTGCATACAAAGCCATAGCCTTTGGATCTTCCAGTGGTCTTATCAGTGATGACAACAGCCTCCAAGATCTCACCAAACTGTTCAAAGTATTTCTTCATGGTCTCCTTCTGGGTCTCCCAAGCCAATCCTCCAACAAACACTTTGGTGTAAGTGGTGTCTCCAAACTGTGCTGACAAATTAGCTGGAGTCATCTTCTCAATTTTCCTCTCCTAGCTATTATCTGCCTCTTTCTTGATCTCCCACTTCCACTTCTCTTTATCTACAAAGGATAGAAAGAAAGAGAGCTTACACACACAACTTTGCTACAAATGGTCCTCCTTGCAGATTTGATGATGACCACTAGCTAGTACTATTTGTATGTATGTATAAACATATAGATCTATATGGAACAAGATGAGATATACTAAGACTGATATAAAACCCAACTAGATTGAGAAAGAAAGAAAGAAGGTGGTGGTGGTGGTAGTGGTGGTGATTGATGATCAGACAATTAGGTCAGAGATCCAGGGAGGGAAGAAAAAGAAAAGAAAGGAGAGAGAGAGAGAAGAATGGGAGGGAAGAGAAAGCAAAAGGTGGAAAAAAAAGAGGAAAGACCCTCCATAATAAGGACAATGAATTATATACATAGCAGCCCCCACATCCCCTTTACACACTGGCAATCACACTTTCACGCGCAGTCTTGGGCCGTGTTTGGCACTTTGGAATTGAAATGATACAATGTTTGAAGGCCACGCGCGTTATGAAGAGTGGGAGTTGTGGGCGTAGAGACATTATTATTGTGTCGACTCATGGCTTGGCTGGTGGTGACTTTCTAATTGTATTGTTTACTATTAATGTACCGATAATAAACGAACCAAATAATTTCAACTTCACCCGTATTTAACTGTTAAAAATTAGTTTAAATTTAATTTATTAAGTAAATAAGTTATATTTGAATATACTTTTGAATTTATTAAAAATTTTAAATTAATATTGAATATTCAATTACTCGTTCGAATTAATTTGATAATCTTAAAATCATATAAAAATATCAAATGACTCGAGTTTGATTCGACAAAAAATCATTTTAGATCGATTCGAAAGTTTAAAATCAAATTTTAATATTCGTTAAAGTTTTTAAACTAAATTTAAAAAATTAACTGTTTAGTTCGGTTGGCGTGTTTATTATCTCTACCTAAAAAAAATAAATAAGAGTGATTATATTTATACCATTAGAAGTGCTAGGGGCCTCGACAAATCGAGGCTTGAATACTTTGAATTGTTATTTATTTTTTTTTTTTTTGGTTTTTTTTTTTTTCTCTCTCTCTCTCTTTTTTGTGGAAGGGTGATTATTTATAGAGGTGTGCTAAAAAATTAGACATCCTGTACCAACTCAGCCTGTGTGGTTTGAAGGTGAGTGAGTACGGTTGGACTGGTCGGGTGATAAAATTGACTGATTAGTTAGGCTGCTAGTTAAAATTTGTTAATTTCATATAGTTTTGTATGAATCCTTTCTATATTTTTATTTTAAATCAGGACTTGGAGGAAATTGAAATGGTTTGGTATTGTGTATGTAGAAAAAAAATGGCTGCTCTTTTTTTTTTGCATAAACAATACCAAAAGCTATTTCAAATTCCTCCGAGTTTTCCTGATTTGAAATAAAAATATAGTAGGGACTCATACAAAATTACATGGAATTAACAAATTTTAACCAGTAGCCTAACTGATCATTCAATTTTATCACCCAACTAGTCCAACCCAACCCACTCACTTCATTAAACCACACAGGCTGAGTTGGTGCAGGATATCTAATTTTTTTGGCACACCTCTACACACATAACCACCCTTCAAAAAAAAAAAAAAAAAACAAAACAAAACAACAACAAATCAACATAGCCCAACAAATAAATAATAAATAAAAAAACAACAACCAAACCAACATAGTGCAACAAATAGAAAAGGAAAGAAGAAAAAAAGGAAAAAAAAAACAATTCGAGACATTCAAGACTCGATTTGTCGAGGCCCCAAGCATTAGTCTTACACCACTAGTTTACCTCTTTACATTCTCTATATGAGATTTTTTTAATTTTCTTTTATTTTTATTTTTATTTTTTTATTTTTTTATTTTCAATTTTTCTCATGTGAAATTACTTTTAATGACAAAAAAATTAAAATTAAAAATATTTTATTAGCTTTTTACACCCATTACTCTTTAGTCCCTACTGCTCTACTTCCCTTCTCAGTTTTTTTTCTCTGCTTCATATCTCTTTTTAAAAAGTGAGAATCATAGTATTTTGATCATAGAAAAAAATAATAGATAAAGAAACGGTGGTGAAGAACCATAAAAAAAGTGAAATGATAATTTTTTTTATTTGTTTGGTAGGTTTTCATTTCGTTTTTTGAGAGAGTTCTTCGATTTGTTCGGTGTGTCAAAATCGAATAAAATAAAATATTATAGAATCATATTGTCGAACAAAATATATATGTTTCGTAACCCACTGCTGAATAAAAGATATATTTTTTGTCACAACCCAAACCCGCCCTTAGAGGTTTGGATTATGACCGGCCAATAATCATAAGATTATCTATGGCTTCAGACAGAAATTTCAAAATATAAATAATTATACGGTACTTGAAGAGGAAGCAGATTACACATCTCACATCATGCATATAATATTTTCAATCATTCATCATGTATACATAACCTAAGATCAAAACTATAACATAACAAATTATACAAAACCAAAGCTTTGCAAGCTTGGCCAAAGCAGAAACTAAGGCCTCGATGCGGAGGCACATCTTGAGTGGCTTCACAAAAGGGGATTAACTACAAAGAAATCTCTAATGCTAAACTCCCTAATGCTCACCTACATACATATATATAAATGGAGTAAGTTGGAAACCCAATGAGTAATCTCTAAGTAAAAGGGTTTAATGAATGAGTTCCATATCTTATTAAAACCATATAATATACTTGACGTAATTAAAGCATGTTTCAGAAACATATAATAACAAATGCGGTTCATCAAACCTTTTATGGTATTTCATATATTGTAAGATCCTGGTGTCCCTTATCGGGAATGGAAGAGGAGTTCCTGGGCTATAAAAGTAAAAACTTAGACCCTTATATAGCATCAAGGCCTTTTCTCGGGTAGTGAAATCCCTAGCAGAACTCCCTAGTTAAGCGTGTTTAGACTAGAGTAGTTCTGGGATGGGTGACCCACTGGAAAGAACAAATTCGTGCGGGCGTGGTCCAAAGCGGACAATATCGATAACATGTGAAAGGTTGGGGCATTACAAATCAGAGCTGACTCTCCGGAGTACTGAGTGTGGGCCCCTAGAGTCTCTCAGTGCATGTGGGCGGGCTTATGAGCTGGCAGATTACTGCATGGGGACGTGCAACCCTAAGGGGGTGGATTGTAAGGTCCTAGTGTCCTACATCGGGAATGGATGGAGAGTTCTTGGGCAATAAAAGTAAAAACCTAGACCCTTATATAGCATCGAGGCCTTTTTTCAGGTGGTGAAATCCCTAGCAAAACTCCTCAGTTAAGCGTGCTTAGACTAGAGTAGTTCTAGGATGGGTGACCCACTGGAAAGAACAAATCCGTGCGGGCGTGGTCCAAAGCGGACAAATCGATGACATGTGAAGGGTTGAGACGTTGCACATATCGTGGTATATTTCTAAAAGTCTTAATAGGACATGACGTGATTCCATACAAAACGTTCATAACGAAATGAAGCATTCAAATGACCATTTTATGGAATGCCAACTTTGGACGACTTCATACGGAATGCCCATATTGGATGATCATTCGGAACGTTAACATTGGATGACTTCATGCGAAACGCCTACATTGGACGACATCATTCAGAACATCCACAGTAGGCGACGTATGCGGAATGTGCATAATGAATTGAAGACAAAACGAAGATCATTAAAGGTTGAAATATATTTCTAAAGTTGTTATATTAGTTGCTGTTTCAAAAGGAAACTCATTCATTCTTAGCAAAAATCTAATTTTGAAAAAACATATCATATTGTACACAATTCAGAGTTTCATCACATATCAATTATATTGTAATCATGATAGAGGTTTATAGCATATCTCATTGTTTTAGAAAATACTTATCAAATGAAATATCTCGTAACAAAGTATAGATTTCATAATTCGTCGTACAACAAAGCTAGTTTCAAAGTAGATTGTACGAAAATATCTTTACAAAGACATTACTCATCTTGACTAATTCGATGTTCTTCCTCAACGTTCCAATCTACACATTCACATAACCATACACATTGAAATATATTGTTCGAATTGAATAACTTATCTTCTCTTTTCTAATTCAATTACTCATGTTGTTTTTTACTTATTAGTTCTCAATTATTCATAACTCATGCCTAAATATGCTCAGAAGGAGATGAGAATGAAGATATGATCACAAAACAACTTGTCAAAATATATTGAAACAAAGTTAGTCGCTCGAGCCAACTTTTGGTCACTCGAGCGATATGCAAAGGCTACAAAAGTACTGGATTCTCAAAATGTGCATTTGAGCGGTTTACGATGTTCTGCAAAATGCTAGAAGCTCGCAATGTTCACTCCAGCTACCATTTGGTCGCTTGAGCGGTCTGGAAAAATTTTGGGTGTTCAAAATTGAAAGTTTGAGGTTCAAATGCCCTTTCAAGGCAATACTCATGCATGGCTTGTTCTTTAAGCTTGAAAACTCTTCAATAAACATAAATACATGATCATTTGCAAATCTTTTGCTCAAACTCATTAATTAAGTAAAATTGAGCTGAAAACCTTCATGCATGTGAGATTTTCAAACTTTTTTCTCTTGTACTCTTCAAAATATGCTCTTGACTTGAAGCTTTAGAAACCAATTATGCATGTGCAAATTAGCTTCCAATTCAGCATGGGTAATAGAGTTTAGACTAAAAAATGGGAAAATATGGTAAAATCATGCATGCATGTAGAGCTTCTTCAATTCCATCGTCTTTGAGCCAAAACCCTATCAATTATTCATAAACAAGTACAATCTCTTCTTAATTACATGAGTTACATGAATTATCTTCAAGAATTAAGAGTCGAATTCTTACCCAGAGCTTGAATTACACTTATTCTTGCACAATCTTGGCTCCCCTAACAAAAATCTTCAAGTTCTTCAATTCTCACTTTATCCCTCTAGAGTGAGAGTTCACTCTCTCTCTCTCTAAAATGAATTCTTAGCACAATGATCTCAAGAATGAACAAAATTGAGCTTAATGCTCTCTTAAGACACATATATATAGTTATGATTAGTTTAATTATTAATTAGATCATTAGGCTAATTAAACATAATTTAATTTTATCAAATTAAATCAATTTTAAATCAAACTTCCTAAATGATTTAAAAAATTCCAATTAGTCTATTCATTGTGTCAATTTTTGTTTCTGAAATCATTTAAGTCTTCAATTTCAATTTCAAAACAGAAATCATAATAGATAATTCTCAAATAAGACAAATATTCACAAATTAATCACAATGCACATATCACAACTTAAAATTTACACATAATTAAATGAATGTAATTATAATATGCAAATTGGGGTTGTCACAT